TCTGACAAAAGGCTCTGCACCAGGAAGAGGATCTGAAGCACAGTCTTAAAGGACCCCTTCTTGAAGTATGTTTGTTGGGGGGGGTATCTTAGCCATCCTTTCTTGGTGCCCTCTTCTCCATTTCCTATTTTGGGCCAGATCTGTCCTAAAAACTTGACTCCTACCCTATTCCTTCTTCTATCCCCCCACTTCCCCAAAAAAGCTCACACACCCTTATATTTAATTTCTGGGGTGTCTCCATAATTCTTAAATGATTTGTGCAAAATTCTGAAGAAGCCAGGAACACTCCATCCCTTGTTCCCAACCTCCCGAGTCAAGACTGTTCTTTGGCACGATTCTGGCCACACTGCTGTATTTAGATGGATCAAACCTGCTTCAGTCTCTAATCCTAGGGAAGATGTGCAAGCAGGTGGGGGGCGGGGGGCAGGGCTGGGAGACCAAGAAGGGAAGATGACTGGACCTCCAACCACTCAGGAGCATCCCTGAAGGTACAGGACATGCACGTCAAAGGGGCCACAAGACTGTTTCGTAGGATGTGGGTGAATGTGGGGCGCCTGGGTGGCTCAGTCGTTAGGCGTCTGCCTTCGGCTCAGGTCATGATCCCAGGGTCCTGGGATCGAGCCCCACATCAGGCTCCCTGCTCCTCGGGAAGCCTGCTTCTCTGTCTCCCACTCCCCCCTACTTGTGTTCCTGTTCTCGCTATCTCTCTGTCAAATAAATAAATAAAACATCTTACAAAAAAAGAAAAAAAAAGGATGTGGTGAATATAACTCCATGCTTAATGCAGGAAACTAAAGCTTTGTGTGGAATCTTGAATTTCTGGGGAAGGAGGGAGAGGAGGGAAGCATGTGCTTGTCTGCCCTCTCCCAAGCTCCCTCCCCCTGCTCCTGAACTGCAGGAGGCTGAGCCCCTGGGTTCAGTGACCCCGTCCCTGGAGAATACGGCTGTGATGGCTGGATCTGTTACCACTGTGTAATACACACTGACCCTTCCCCTTCGCCTCGGAAAGTACAGTGAAGAAAGAGACGCCCTCGTTTTTTAATGCGCCCCCTTGTCTTCTGTGCCAGCGAAGACACCCCGTGCCACACCAGGGAGGAATGGTGATGACAAGACCGAAGAGATGTGGCTCTAACAGAAGCCCAGATGCCACGCAGGTGGGACGGACACGGCCCTGCAGGCACGTGCAGCACCCAATGTCACCCTGCAGGCCAAGTGCTTGCCTGCTCCATAAAACACAACTCCACCCTCAGTCTGCCCAGCAGAAAATCTGTCTGGGTGCCATCGAGGCACCGTCCCCGAGGGCAAGATGCCAGAGGCAGGAGGCAAGTAGTTCTTACAGAGATGGAAGGTTCCTACGCAGCCGAGTCAGCACAGCGGCCCCCGGGGTCCCAAGGAAAGCCGGACCGTACTGCACAGGTTCCAATGTGGCGTATGTCAGGCAGAGGTGCATCAAGGACTCACAAGGTCCGTTTACACTGATGGGGTGTCCCAATGGCGGCACCTTTTTCTCTAGTGGTCGATACCAGCATGTCTTGTCACCCCAGCATCAGGGAGCAGATAACATGTGGTAAAGGCAGAGCGCCCTTGCTCTTCAAGTTCTCTGGCCAGAAGATGCTCAGCTTTCCGTGTAGCCTGCTTTGTCCTGAGCAGACTGTCGGAAAATCGAGTGGTGAGGCCCTGGGAAGCAATGAGCTATAAAGCTATTCACAAGCATGTTCCCGCCGCCGTCCAGACCGATCCCAAGATCAGAAATCTGAAAATGCACGTCACTGCCGGGCCCGTGCAGGAGCAAGCAGGGCCTGTGGGGCGAGAGCAGCGGGGTGGCCAGCATGCTGCCCCCACCCGTGTGCCATTCGGATGCGAAATGGGTCGCCTGGCTTCAGTATGTGTAGTTCTCAACACCTGATGGAGTCCAAAGATACCCAAATCTATGCTCGGGGGTGAAATACTAGGGGACAGGCACAGGCAAAGGCTTTTCGTTTTTACTTATGACAAGTTCCAATATCCAACATTAATGCAAATAAAAATTTTCAGTTTTCGGCAATTTAAACCTAAAACAACTATAAACAAACTGCCAAACGTTTCTAGACAAGGTCACTGGATTTTTTTTTTTTTTTTTTTTTTAAAGATTTTATTTATTTATTCATGAGAGACAGAGAGAGAGAGAGAGGCAGAGGGAGAAGCAGGCCCCCAAGGAGCAGGGAGCCCGATGTGGGACTCGATCCCAGGACCCTGGGATCATGACCTGAGCCGAAGGCAGACGCTTAACCATCTGAGCCGCCCAGGCGCCCAAGGTCACTGGATTTTTAAAAACAAATTCCTTACGGGGTGACAGAGAAAAAAAACTTAGAAACAAACTAGGCAGGGATGTCGGGGGCAAACTCTGGACTGTGGCTTCTCCCCCAGAGTGCACTGGGACTGGCATGTGGGCACTGGGGAGGGGTGTCCTGCCACCTCTCAAGCAGGTGGGCGCAACAGGTGTTCAATTTAGTATTGATCCCCGTATATTACAAATGTTCTTGGCTACTGTGAAACACTTCTTAACAAAAAGACAGTGACTGTCCAAAATAAAGCATGGGAACTGACCAGGACTTAGGACGAGAGAAGTGAACTTGGGGACACCACCTACCCCTACTGCGCTGGCGGATGCCAGCCCAGATTTTATACAAACAGCCCACTCGCCCCTCCCACATGCCACACCCGCCCTGAGCCTTGACCTGAAGCAGCTGTGGACTAAACACTCGTTCTCTACTGAGGGACCACCAAAAAACGGTTGGTCCAAAGCCACTCTGGGGACATCAGGATGGGAAAGAGCAGTTAACGTCTAGGTAGGGCCTGCAGTCCACTGCATTCTGAAAAGAACCTGATGTCTGCCCAAGTCCCTGACCCACGAAACCAAGCACCATCTACTCTGCTATTCCGAGTGTCCCATCACTGCTAGCAGATCTGCGGCAGGTGGAAGCATCTGGGGCATCTGGGGCACGCCTCCCCAGGAGCAGAGCTGCTCTGCAGCAGCGGCCTGGGCACCACGATGCTCGGGGTCAAATCTCTGTCCTGGAAAGCCCTGCATCGGTCTGCGAGGCTGCCCCCACCGCACGGGGCTGTAATGGCGGCACACGTACCCGTGTCCGTGAGTGAGGCTGACCCCCCCCCAGTCACAGCAAGCTCGAGGGGGCACGGCCGCCTCTCAGCTTCCAGCTTCCTCCTAGGGTGCCGTCAGTCTCAACCACTTGCAAGCCCAGAACACACCCTTAAAAGCATCGAAGAGCCACAATCAGAGGTACCTGCTGTCCCTTCACCAAGACCAAGTGGTCTGTGTGTATTGGCACGAGATGTGATGCAGAAGGCTGACCAATAGCGCGTGGACCCCTGCACCCTGTCTGCTTTGTGATGGCTAGGAACTCACACACTACCAGAATCATGGACTCTGCGTTTCTGGACATTATCTGTTTTCAAAATTGAGATCTTTACTTCTTCTTTAAAGCACGCTGATAATATCCACCAAGCACACATTTGAAACCGAAGTAAAACTCAATCCACATGTGGGGGATGGCCAGACGGGAGAAGATCCTAGGTTTCTAGGACCCTAGAGAAGGGGCACAAATCTTAAAGCAAGGATTCCAAAGTGAGATGCAATGCTACAGCCTGGGCCCTCAGCCCCACGGCAGACAGTTGTGGTCCAGGGATGGAGAAGCACCGTCCTGATGGGAATAAACTCTTCTTTGTTCAGTCTCAGCCACTTATCCAATTCCTATGTGGGGCGTCAGCTGACCGTTTCCTTTCCTTCTGCCCTCTGGCCCTCCAGCTTACAAACTCTCACAGAGATGCTGCTTGTTAACACTCAAGGCTTTTAAGCTGGAAGCTTTCTTCAACCCCCAGCCATCAGGCCCTGCCCAACCATGAAGGCCACACCCCAAGTCATCACCTTCTCAGCACCCCCTGACAAGCTGTATAGACTGTCCCTGATGCCTGAGAAGCCTGCCCTCTGCTGACCACTCCCTGGGGCCCACAGGCGTTTCTGTGCCTGGGTGCCGGGTCCCGAGAAAGCTGGGACAGGATGCTCTGGACGCCCTCTGTGATGGATCCGGCAGGACTGTCGGCGTTGCTCTGATATGTATCTGTTGCCAAAGAAACACCTGTTGCTGTGTAAAGCAAGAAATGTTGGTTGCTTAGTAGCAGCACAGATTAAGCCATTTTTGTGGAGGAAAGATGCGAGAGTGGAATCACCAATCCTCCCTTCTCACCTGAAAAAAGCAAATTCAGACTCTGAAGACAAGTTTTCATTTGGCAAAGTGCAGAGAGCACCCCGAACTACGAAAGTACCACAGAGGCTTCTGCCATGAAGGGTCTCCAAGCAGGATGCAGTGCAACCATTCTTCCGACACAAAGCCTTGATCCCGAGGGGAGCTCTTTGGGGTGAAGCATGGACATGTCCTTCCTAATGCTGCAAGGTCTTCGGGACTCTGAGACCTCCAACAAAATCCCCACCTGCTCCATTAGCCAAACTTCTGAAGTCCAGAGAATTCTAAAAGTTAGACTCTGAGATCGGGATGGGTACTCTCAAACATCAGACACCCTTAGGTCTGAGAGGTTTAGCAGAATTGGGACAGTAAGTGAGTTGGGAGGGGCCACAGAGGTCACTGAATTCAAACTCTATTTCACTCAGGAGCCTTTGAGGGGGCTCCCCCAAAGCTGTGAGCAAAGCATGTGACTGAGGTGGCACACCCAACAATCAGGAGCATGCCTGAAAAATCAAAATTCACACGAACCCTGAGTTCAAAGACAATACTAGCTAACATGAGGCTAAGGAAAAGCAGAAAATCATGTTTTATGTTGAATGAGGCCCTCAGTAGGCCTCTCGGTATCTGAAGGAAGCCACGTGACTGAGACAAGCGTACAATGTCCTCCCTTTCCCAAATAAACCAGAGGCTCTGATTCACGACACATTCTCCCTCATCAAATACAACCCTGGTTTTCTTTTGAACAGGTAAAGGGCATACCTCCTCCCTGCATCATTTTGTAGATTTTGCTCTCAATGTGGAGCTGAGGGTGTTTGGTTTTGACACATTCAAGCTTGATGGCAACTTCTTCTCCTGCAGCAATGTCCGTACCTTGGCAAAGAAAGAAAATCACAAACATTAATAATCTGGTGTCTACCACCTAACGCAATGCTACCACACTACAGACCCTCTGCTCTGTTTTCCACCATGAAATGGTGTCGGTGGTTAACAAACCCCTGTGGAAAATCATCATTACTTTCACTTTTTAAGCAGGAAGTCTTTGATATGTATAGAAAAATCTTATTTAGTATTCCCTCACCCACTTCCATATGTCCCCACTCTGATCACGTCAATAGGGGATCCAGAGACAGGGTGGTGTGCTTCTCTCTGCAAGGACTCCCTTCTTTTCTGCCCTGAACCTTGCTGTCCACCTGTTGGTCAGCCCCTGCGTCCACCCACCCAGGGCCAAGCAGTGGGGGAGTTCCAGGGTGACTGTGTATGCTCCCCGTTTCTCCATGCTGCCTGGACAGGCCTGTGTGGGTGGGTTTGGGCCTTTCTTTTTACCAAACACCCACATGGCTTCAGTCCACCCACCCCCAGTGTTGAGCCGCACGCATCCTGGAACAGTCAGGGCACTTCTCAAGTAGAATTGGTTCCCATAAGGAGACTCCTGCAAACCTCTCCCTTCCTGGGGAACAGGACCTTGCTGTGTATTTCTTACTGATGCTGGACCAGAGGGCAGACCCCTTTTCAGAGCCCAAACGAGACCCAACAACATGCACCTGTCACATACCTTTTGTTAGTTTTACGCTAAAACTGGCAAAACATCTGCTAATACCTCCCGATAACCAGCCCATAAGTTTGAAGGCAAAATCAGAGTTTTTATCTAAAAATGTTCTATCTCTGCTTTACTCCAATTAAGGAAATGCCAATGTGACAACACCCTGACCCAGGCTTCACAGACAAATGCTCCTGAGCTCTCATCTGCCCCAAAGCTGTGCCTGTGAACCCTTCTTCAAGAAGCTTTAGCTGGGGGCACCTGGGTGGCTCAGTCGTTAAGCGTCTGCCTTCGGCTCAGGTCATGATCCCAGGGTCCTGGGATCGAGCCCCGCATCGGGCTCCCTGCTCGGCCAGGAGCCTGCTTCTCCCTCTCCCACTCCCCCTGCTTGTGTTCCCTCTCTCTTGCTTCTCTCTCTGTCAAATAAATAAATAAAATCTTAAAAAAAAAAAAAAAAAAGCTTTAGCTGGAGAGAACAGGGCAGAGTCTTAAATAGCACATACCTAGTCCTCCCATAGGTGGCTTCTGAGTACGGTGTCCCCCCTTATCTGCGGACGACCTCGGTCTGTGAACAGACAGTCCTGCACCTGCCCCACAGTCAGGTCAGCAGTAGCCTCACCCGATGCCACAGGCCCACATCACTCCCCTCCCTCCTCCCGTCACGTAGGCACTTCATCTCACAGCGTTGCAACAAAGGGGGGTACAGCTCATTGCGATGATTTTGAGAGACCCCAGTCACAGAACTTTATTTACAACATATTGCTATAGTTGCTCTATTTCATTATTAGCTATTGTGAACCTCTTACTGCACCTAATTTATAAATGTTATCATGGGTAAGTATGTCTAGGAAAAACAAGGTATACATACCTTGTATGTATCTGGTACTGTCCGTGGTTTTAGGCACCCCCTGGGGATCATGGAATGTTCCCCTGTAGATAAGGGGGTCCGATGTATAAACCACTTTAATCCTTCCCAGCAGTATGTTTATCTGTACTGGTTCCAGCAGCTCAACAGACCCCAGACACTTCCTTCCCCAGGAGATTGTAGTGTTGGACAAAGCAACCTCAACTGACTGGTTTTTCTCTCCACAGGTTTAGTGGGGAGAAGTGCAATCTGCTTCACAAGAGACTTGCACAGAGGAGTGGGTTCACAGTTACAAAGCACTCTGAGATTCCCAGGCAAAGGCAGAATAAGATCAGCAAGCACTAAAACCATGATCAGCCTGCAGGAACGCTGCCTGCTGCTGTTTGTGTGTCCACTAAACGCCCAAGAACCCCCAAAGTCTCCTCCAGACTGCTCAGAGGGCTGCAAGAAGTGCAGTGCTTCCTGTGAGCCTGAACCCAAAACCATGGGGATAACCACCATCTGATCACTGCAAGTGACCATTCCAGATTTAAGAACTTCATTTACCATTCCACAGAGACTCTTTTAGGCACTCAGAAAGAAGACAGGTAATACATTTTGTTCTTCCTACCCGCATTTGCGATGATCTATCCAATCACAAGAGAAATGACTTCATCGTAAATGTACTGTGCAAATGAGAAATGCACTGGGAGTTCCTGTGAGGACCTGGACTCTGAGCTGAACCCGCCAGCCCAGGAGACACAGAGAAACGGATGACTCAGCTTACTGGTTACATCAGCAACTCTGTCCCCCAAAGCATGAGCAGGGGGGCCTTTAGCGAGAGCACTCGTGCTCCACCAACTACGTCAGCACTGTCACCCTTACCATGAAGCAGGTTTTCAATGACAAGACAGCCCGGACCCACACAGACTACCTACCAGACCAGCTCCTTCAAGAAGGCAGAGAACGTTCTAGCTCCACTCTATTGTGGCTGATAGTGCAAACATCAATCAACCCAGCAATACTGACCTGACAGTCTTGGAGGCAATGACCATAGGCAACTCTGGAACACAATTTGAATTCCATTCTCCTATCATGGTGCCAGCCTCCCCCCAGGATCACACTTGAAAACAGGGCCAGCCTCCTCCAGGATCACACCTGAAGACAAGGCCAGCCTCCCCCTAGATCACACCTGAAAACAGAGACAGCCTCCCCCCAGGATCACACCAGTAAGAGCCAGCCTCCCCAAGGATCACACCAGCAACAGAGCCAGCCCCCCCTCCACGATCACGCCTGAAAACAGAGACAGCCTCCCCCAGGATCACACAGTTAAGTAGGGCCAGCCTCCCCCAAGGATTATACCAGCAAATAGGGCCAGTCTCCCCCAGAATCACATCTGAAAACAGGGCCAGTCTCCCCCAGGATCACACCAACATCAGAGCCAGCCTTCCCCTAGGATCACAACTGTGAAAGTTGCCCAGAGTCACATGACCCAAAGAGAGACTGGGCTTGGGCTCTGCAAATAAATGTGAGAACAGCATACACTCTGGGCCGTTTCCTTGCAAGGTCTTTGCCCACTGGGTAGATGTACCAAGCAGCCCAGCTTCAATTCCTGTGCATTCTGAGAAGCAAACACCACAGGCAAAACCAAGGTCCACCAGTGTGCAGCCCTGCAGCCCTGCCCCATCTCCTATGGCTGGCATCACACCTCACGCTTCACTGGGAGGGCTGCTGCAAGTCTAGTGCTCAAAACACCAGCCGGCCACGGGGGCACCAATACAGGGCAGTGAGAGAGCCCCGAGGAGCTCTGACAGCAAAGTGATGCTGCTGCAACATTTTAATCTTACTTTACAAAAGTAATGGTCTGTGAAGGATTGGAAATTACGAAACCCAGTCCTTCAGCACAACTTTTTTTTTTTTTTTAAAGATTTTGTTTATTTATTTGACAGAGAGAGACACAGCGAGAGAGGGAACACAAGCAGGGGGAGTGGGAGAGGGAGAAGCAGGCTCCCCGCGGAGCAGGGAGCCCGATGCGGGACTCGATCCAGGGACTCCAGGATCATGACCTGAGCCGAAGGCAGTCGCTTAACCAACTGAGCCACCCAGGCGCCCAGCACAACTAACTTTTACAAGTACTTCTAGATAGGGAACAAGAATTTAAAAGACCCCACTGAGCACTAGGTTTCAGATTTACAAATCAATCCACAGTGTCTTTTTACACTAAGCAGTTTTATCTCCCCAACAACCTCAACTCCTCCTGTAGCTAAGCAACCCCACCCGGTCGCAAAAGAGTTCCTCTCTCTAGGCAAAGGTGTTACTCTCTGCTTAGACACAGGTTGGTGGTGGGCCTAGGAAAACAAGATTATGTCTCTCAAGTTGAGCCAAGTCAGATGGTGAATTAAGTGAACCTAACCCCACGCCTGACTGTCCTAGGACAGCTGTCCTAACGCCCAACTCCCACTGAAGACGGTCTTATCAGAGAAACAGGGAGAGGCCTCTGGGTAGCCAGGCAAAGGTCACTCTCACAGGGCAACTGGTGACAAGGCAACTGATGCAGGATCACAACCTCTCATCAGACACACTCAGAACTTAAGCCACCACCCTAAAGAACACAGGCCGGTGACTAGGAAAGCTTCAGCCAGTGCAGGCAACTGGTCTTCTCTCCCGGCCGGCCAGCCAGCCACCACTCTGGAAGCCCTACTGCGTGCCAGACATCCTTGCACAGCACTCCTGAAGAGAAAGTCAGTGAGAGGGAAAACGTTAAACTCAGGTATGAAGAGGTTACTAAGCTTCAGCTCTCTAGAGGTATTTATGAACGTTGTGACGTCAGACTGCACAGCCCACCCAGGTAACACATGGGCAGAGGAGGCCATTCTCTGATAAACGGAGGGAGTGACAGGGTCGGATACAAAGGCCAACGGGCAGGAAGAAAACCTCCATTCCAGCAATCATGAATGGCAGGGGCAGGGGATGGGAGGGGCCCGAGGACCCTTCTGCCAGCCTCGAGAAGACAGACATGGACGGGAACAGAGAGCCGGAGGTTCGCAGACACTGTGGAACACTGGCTGACAGAACAGCGACTGTTGCCGACTGCTGAACCGCCACTCCACACACTCCCTTCTTCCCTCAGCTCCACTGCTCACACTGAGAACACGTGGTCCACCTTCCGAACATGGCCCGCCCCGTTTTTCAAATGTTAGCAGGTGTACGAGAGGTATACTGCCCACACGTGGAAGGGCTTCTGGTGTCCAGTGCCTCACAAAACATCACCTCTAGCAGCAAAGGGTCAAAGCTGAGAGAAGCACGGGGCTGGGAGGGCTCTGCCTTACGCCCACTGCCAATGCTAAGTACAGGCAACATTTTGCCTAAGTGTGTCCTATACAGGATACATGAGCTCTGAGGCCTTCTCAGCCTGCCCTTCCCAAGAGCCCTTGGGACCTGGCAAGCTTGGAGGTAGACGGAGGATCAGGACTGCACACTTTGGGGTCCATGGTGGCCCAAATCCAGTACATAAACTTTCTGAAGTCCAGGCATTGGAGAAACAGCCCCAACGTACTGCCCCTCTTTAAAGGGGCAACTGTGGGAAGGACTGGAGTAACTGGCAGGGCACAGTGCTCCCTGACCATGTCCGTGCAGCAGGCCGCTAGGAAGGCAGGCCAACACTGGGCCCTCTTGGTCCACAAGGCACTCAGCAAGCTGAAAGACGGCCTCCTCTTCTCACAGTTTCAAACCTCTGAAAGCACAGAAAGTCCCAGGCGGAAATCCAAGACCCCAAATGCCAGGATTACAACATGGTGAACCTATGTAGAGGAGTCGAGAGTGTTCTGATCAATAGCAAAATGACAGCAGTAGAAATGATTTAAATTGTAATCACACCAGAATATGTGGGACATAACAATTTCAAGATATGAGGACCCAATTCCTTAACAAACGCCTTTACCTACACAGGAAAAAACTATGGTAAGGATGACTCACTCCATTCCACGGTCTTTGGAACAGCCATCTTTGACCCTCAACCACAGCAGCTGGTGAGCTTCCTCAAACCCAGTTTTCCAGGCACATCTTACTCAAGTAACAAGATCACCTCTCCTCAGTGGCGCAGCACTTAGCCTGAATGGACCACCGTGCCGGCCAAGAGCCGCTGACGGAAAAGATCAGTGGTGTCTTAGGTGCACCTCAAAGGATGGGGGGGCCGAGTGGGTGCTGGGAGCCACGGCGTGAGAGGCACAGCCCACCCGTCTTCGAGCACACATCCCTCCGGGATGGGTCAGCCTGATCTGCGTATCCAGTGCTACTGGTGTGTGCGCCCACCACAAGGTGAGGCCCAGAGGACACAGCAGTGAATAAGCAGACAGGGCTCCCTGCACCAGCCTCAGAAACACAGAGCGGCCAACACCAGAGGACAGAAGGTTTCAGAATATTTTTCTGATGCCTGTGTAAGGGCGGCTAATGGATGGACTTTTCAGTACAGCTCCTACATCCTAGGTTAAAACTTAAGCCAAAATGTACTGTTCTATAAATAAGGTCATCAGTTTACATTCACCCAGCAATTCTCCCTACACGAACACAACCGAGGATGCAGAGAGCTGACTCCTGGATAGAATCATCTCTAAAGTGTGTTTTACTCAACAGGACAGTGAGGCAGAGGGCAGGCAGGGTCACAGGCATCTGTAAGGCCCGGGACAGGCGTGCTCGGTGGGGTAAGAAGGGGCCCAAAGCAGTAATGAACTACACAAACCTGCACTCCCCTTAACGCGGTCGACCCAGGGGCTGCACCGGCCCCGGTGACAAGAGGGCAGGACGGGGTGGGCATCGCCGGAAGCTCCTCCTGACCCTCTGACAGGTACAGAGCCCAAGAGAAACAGCAGAGCAGGGGCTCTGCGCAACAACAGAGCGTGTTTACCCCAAACTCGCGCAACGGTCCCCCTGCACACACACGACCGCCCGGCTGCGGTGCTCAGGTCCAGGGCCTATTGAGTAACTTGCACACAGAGCCCCTGAGAAATGCAGGGAAGCTGTTTTTAAATCCCCAACTTTAAGACGCAAGCCAGTCGCTCAGGTTACACGTGTCCGTGCACATTCTTCCACTGTAAATCTGAAACAACCCAGACCTTTCTAATCCCATTCTTTTCAAATCCACCTTGAGAATTTTCACAGCCAGGGGACGACCTCGTGAGCACAGAGACCTTTGCTACTCGATTTGCCTGATTTCGCCAACATGGCCACGCCGACTTCGTCCGGACTCACCTAAGCCCCGCTCTGGCTCCTGCCCAGGGGCGCAACACGTACTCCGGCGGCGCTCGCCCAGGCGGAGGACCCGACCACCGGGCGGCCCTGCGCTCGGTCCCGCGGTCTAGCGGCCCGAGGGCCAGACCCAGGGCAGCTGGCGAGCCCGGGCTGCACTGTCGCAACGCTCGAACCGGCGCCCCGGACTTTCCCGTGCCCACCCCCCACGTGCACAGGACGCAGGGGGCCGCACAGCCGCCCGGCGGCCTTTGTCCGCCTGCGGGGACACCCGGGCGCGGACACCCGGCGGGCCGGGGCGCAGGGCCACTCCCCGGCGGCCGCGGGCGCACGTCTGGGCAGGTGCCGCCGGGGGCGCGGGCCGGACCCCGCCGAGGGGCCGAAGAGCTCCCGGCGCCCCACGCCCGCCTGGGGGGCTGCGGGCCCGGACCGGGCGGGGCGGGGCGGGGCGGGGGGCGGTCCCGGCCGCAGCCGCAGGCCGGAGAGGGGGCGCCCCGGGGCGGGGGCCGGACGAGGGCTGGAGGCGGTCTGCCGCTGGGTCCCCGGAGCGGGGGCCGGCCGTGTCCGGGACCCGGGACCCCGACACGGGGCCGGGGGCCGGGCGGCCGCCGGGCTGGGGGGCGGCCCGGGCTCGGGGGGGAGGGGCGCCTCACCGAGATAGATGTCTCCGAAGGAGCCGCTGCCGATCTTCCGGCCCAGCCGGTACCTGTTCCCGACTCTGAGCTCCATGGCGGCGGCGGCGGCGGCGGGTCCGGCTCGCTCCTGCCCTCCCGGCCGCTTCCTGGGTCTGAGCTCGGGGAGGCGGCGCCGCTGCTGCCGCTACGGCGGGTCGGGCTGCCGGCTCCGCCCCCCTCACGGCCCCGCTTTCACCATCGCTTTCCGGCCGCCTCGCTGCTCCCAGCGCCTCAATACGGGGCGGATGGGACAGTCCGAGCGCCGCCGCCCCTGCTCCAGCCCCCGCCAACCCCGCTCGCCCTCTCCCCGTCGCGGATGGACTCGGATCTTCCGGGCCTAAATCCCCCTTCAGCGGCCTGAAGGAGCCGCCGCCATCGCGCTGTGACGTCACTTCCCCTAGCAACCCGGCGGGGCGGGGCTGCGCTGCCCGAGGGGCGGGGCCGCGGCTTCAGGCGGCGGGGCGGGGCGGGGCGGGGCGGGGCGGGGCGGGGCGGGGCGGGGCCGGCGCGCACCCGCGTTCCCCGGACCCTGGGACTCCCGGGCCATCCCCCCTTCTCTCTTCGCCTCGCCACCGCAGCCCCGAGCCGGGAGACCACCCCCGCCCTGCCCGTCCCCACGTGCAGGCTGCATGTGCTGGCGCAGGGGCTTCGTTTGTCCTGGCAGGTGTCTGGGAAGCCGGCGGCTCCCCGCGACAGACCTGGGACAGGCCCCCAAGCAGTGATTTTTGCAAGAGGGAAAGAGGGGGCCGAGCCTGTCTGTCCCTGCAGGTCCCGGAACCCGCAGGACACAGGCTGGGACACAGGCTGGGACACAGGGGCACAGGTGTGCTGGGCCTCTTGCCTGCCCGTGGTCTACTGAGCTACCCTCCCCGGCAGCACGGCCTGCTGCTGCCCGCCCACGTCCTTCCTTCGTCTGGTCGTCCGCGCTCAAACCTAGAGCCTGCTGTCAGACCCCAAAGGAGAAGGGGAAGCTACCAGGGCTTCAAAGTGTGAGGCCCGCCGGCCTCAGTCCCATCTTCCCGGAAACCGAATCAACCTGTTCATCTCATTTGTATTGGTTCTGAATGTTCTTCCTTGCAAAAGAAAACAAGAATGTTCAAGTTCAGAATGATGGCCAGCTCCTAAGATCTGGAGCCCTGATTCTGATCACTGGGAAGGGAGTCCTCCAGAGAGGCATCCAAACCAAGAAGGAATGACTTTCATGCCATTGCTTCTTGAGGCCTACGCCCACCCCACGTAAAAAGGGAGAACCAGAATATGCAATGTTAATACATACTTTTGAACATCTAGCAAATATCTACTGCTCTTGTACAGGGTTGCGGGAGGTGTGGGCAGGAGAGCAGCACCGTCTCTGGGGGTGGCCGAGGAAGAGAGCAGTGGGGAGTGAGTGTACAAAGTGGACAGGGCTCTCCACTGGCAGGTATCCCCTCTCCAGCACTCAGTCTCAGGAGTGCAGCCCCTGCCCCCAGGTAGTTGGGGGTCGTGGGGTTGCCCGCATCAATCCCCGAGCATTGTGTAGCAGTGCCTGGAGACAGGGGAGGCTGGGAATGCCCCATGGCCATGTGTCAGCCTGGTTTCTCAGTCTTACGGGGTGGGGGTGGGGGAGTCTGTCAAACTAGTAAAAATAGCCTGTTGGCAGAATTCCCTGATGAAAGGGCCCTGTTCCCCCTCCCAGAAAGCCATGAGTACAAACTGGAAACAGAAAGTGACCTGGAGGGGCGCCTGGGTGGCTCAGATGGTTGAGCGTCTGCCTTCGGCTCAGGTCATGATCCCAGGGTCCTGGGATCGAGTCCCGCATCGGGCTCTCTGCTCCTTGGGAGCCTGCTTCTCCCTCTGCCTCTCTCTCTCTCTGTCTCTCATGAATAAATAAATAAAAATCTTTAAAAAAAATTTTTTTAAAAAAAGAAAGTGACCTGGAAGTACAGTCCGCCGGCCACTCCCTTAGCTGCCCTGGGCTGATCACTGGCCAGCAGTCCATCCTGGGGACTAAGGGTCCTCTCTCAAAAAGAAGCTGCAACTGTTTGGGCCTCCCCCAGGCCCCAGGGTTCTGCCTACGTCACCCATTTATGCTTGGAATTGGCCAGGATAATCAGCCAACAGCAGGACCAAAGTCCTTGCTTGTGTTTTACTCCCCATGATGGGGGAGTACCCGGAAGAGGCCCGCACAGGAGCAGAACCACCTTCTTCCAGGAGCCATTTACCAGGGCCTGTGCCAGGGTCGGAGGCCTGTTACCCCAGGACCATGCTGCAGTTGGCCTGCCGCAGAGGCTACACCTGTCCTCTGTGTATTCCTTAGAGCCCCATTTGTGAAGCACCTTGCAGGGTGGGGGCTTGCCGAGGCGTGCCATGACAGCTGCTTCCCCACTTGCAGCCTCCAGAGGCCAGGATGACTCGGAGTGGGGCCGACCTGACTGGTGTAGTCTCCAGAATCCTCTCTGTCCTCACGTGCTCTGCCATTCACTTGTGCAGTCTTGAGAAGGGCCAAAGTCAATGCCCCCAGACCCTCCCTTGGAGCGTTGGCGAGAGGACCAGGGATAATACAGAGAGCGAGAAGGCTGGTACAGGTGCACGCGTGTTCTCGCCGTTGGGGACAGCCTGAGCCGTGTCCCAGCGCACACCGAATGCCCAACTCCCAGGCCAGGCCTTTGCAGCTGGGGTGGCCTCCCTGGGCTCCCCCCAGCTGAGTGTCACTGCCCCCTTCTGGCAAGGGCGCTGGCCCGTGCTATCTGCTCCCTGAGAAACTCGCTCGTGCCCAGGTCTCCCCAGGTGTGTTCCCAACGGGGCTGGGGGCTCCTCCACCCCTGTCGGGGGCCTTTTTTATTTTAACCCCAAACCGCAGTAGAAGGCAAGTCTCACGCAAAAGGCTGAGGCTGGGGGCCTTTCCGGCCCGACACCGCCCCGCAGGCCCGCCCCTACTGCTCGCCACCCGCCCCCCCCCCCGCCCCCGGCACGCCCCGCCCCTTTCTCTCCGGGGCGCTGCGCTTGGCTGTCAGGGTCGCGCGAGTCTGCAGACCATTTCCGCTCCACCTCGCCCTGCGTTTTCAATGCACTGCCAAATCCGCTGTCCCCTTCGCTTTCACCCAAACTCCCTCTGACCTCTCAGGCAGGCCGGGAGGCTTCGGCGGACAGCGGGTCCCGCTTGTCCGCGGTCCTCCCGCCAAAGCAGAGCGCCAGAGCAGCAAACTGAGAGCGCGCGCGTGCGGGTCCGCGGGGGACTCCCTGGGCCTGCGGGTCTGTGTGCGCGTGAGAGCAGCCTGATTGACGCTGACTCCACATGCTGTTCAATTCACGCACTTACAGGGTACGGTTCAGGGGGTTTCAGTACATTCACGGAGGTGGGCAACCGTCACACAATCCAGTTTAGCTTTTCATCACCCCGAAAAGAAGCTTGTACCCTGCAGCTCGGCCCCGCACCCCATGAACGATCCGAGCTCACTGGTGTGTACCCCGCAGCCGGCCCTGCACCCCATGAACGATCTGAGCTCACTGGTGTGTACCCGCAGCCGGCCTTGCACCCCATGAACGATCCGAGCTCACTGGTGTGTACCCGCAGCCGGCCTTGCACCCCATGAACGATCTGAGCTCACTGGTGTGTACCCCGCAGCTCGGCCCCGCACCCCATGAATGATCCGAGCTCACTGGTGTGTTCCGAAGCCTGGCCCCCGCACCCCATGAACGATCTGAGCTCACTGCGGTGTACCCGCAGCTCGGCCCCCGCACCCCATGAACCATCCGAGCTCTGTGCTCTCGCTCACTGGTGTGGCCAGGTTAGCATCAGGCTGCCAAGGTTTGTGAGTTCTTGTCCCCTGTGAGCGCACGGCTCCCTTCTCCCATCCTGCCTCACACCGTGGACTCTTGTCAGACTCTGGGGAAGATGGGCACACTCCAGTCTGTGAAATAGGAGGGTGTGTGTGCATGTGTGCTTGGAAGGGTACTTGACCTGGGACTGGGCTCCCCGCAGTGCTGTGTCTCTTGGCAGCCCTGCGCCTCCTGTCATGGGCTCAGTGCCCCCTCCTCCTCTGGCTTCCAGGAGTTTTTGCCCCAGGAACTCTTCTGACACTCCACTGCACCTCTTCAGCTTCCTGAAAGACAGTACGAGCTGGTCCTGATTGGCCAGTTCTTTTCCGCCCCAGGTCACAGGTCACTGGGCAGGCCCAAGGACAATACCCTGGAGCTGATTAATGGGGACTGAGTCATTTGCAGAGATCCTGAGGACCTGTGGCTCCCCTTGGCCAGAGCTTGGGGCAGCTCAGGGTCACTGAGGAGAGGTTTCGTGGCCCAGGCTCACACCTGGACAGGTCACCCCGGCCGCCACATCTTTGTCTGGCTCCTACGTGAGCACCCAGAGGTGAAGAGTCTTCTTGTTGCTCCTACTGCATGTCGACAAACCATAGCAATGCCGAGCGGTGTTATTCCCTTAGAGTCTTCTTTGCTTGATGCAGAAACTGAGGCCCAGAGACTGTCCGGCTGCAATTTCTAGGTTTTCCAGGACGGCTGCAAGTTAAAATATCCTGTATGTTTTTTTTTTTTTTAAGATTTTATCCATTCATTTGACAGAGACAGAGAGAGCACAAGCAGGGGGAGCGGCAGAAGCAGAGGGAGAAGCAGACTCCCGCTGAGCAGGGAGCCATCCCAGGACCTTGGGATCATGACCAAAGCTGAAGGCAGATGCTGAACTGAGTGAGCCACCCAGGCGCCCCATAAAATATTCTGTATGATTTTGACAAAAACTAACAAAAAGAGAGGTTCACGAGAGAATGGGATAACCAGAAGATGGAAGCAGCCCGTGTCCAAGGGTGGATGAACAGATAAACAAAAGGCAGCTTATCCACACAGCAGAATATTACTAAGCCTTGAAAGGGGAATAAAACCTACACCTGCTACAACATGGGTAAACCCGGAGGACAGTGCGCTCAGTGAAATAAGCAGACACAAAGAGAGAAATGCTGTGTGATTCCTAGAGCAGGCAGGGACAGAAAGCTGAGTAGAAGGTATGGGGCTGGGGGAGGGGAGCTAGCATTAATGGGGACAGAGTTTCAGTTCGGGGTGGTGGGAAGAGTCTGGAGGTGGACGGTGCTGAGGGCTGTACATTTAATGGTAGAAATGGTAAATTATATGTTAGGCATACTTTACCACAACTTTAAAAAAAAAAAATCCATGGACCAAAAGAGAGGGGGAGGGGGAGAGGAAGAGAGGAGAGGGGAAAAGGAAAAGGGAGAGAGGAAGGGGGAGAAGGGGAGGGGAGGGTGCTTTTCTCACCCCGGAGGGCAAGAACTTCCCAGGGACACAGCAGTGCTGTGCTGTCTGCCTGGGTCTTGTTTGCTTGCGTTTGACTCTGCAACCCAGACGGGTGGTTGGAACCACGGGTGGGCGCCGT